ACTAACCAATGTTGAAGTTGAATGAATTTAATTAGGGCTTGATACTCCATAATTAGAATTCACATTGAAGAATATTATCAAACGATGGAACTTAAACAAAGAGAATGAGAAATAAGGATGGAATGTGGAACCTTAATTACTTTAGAATGTTCCTAACTTGAGTATTCCCTCTAATCGCTTTAATGTTCGCTCGAATTAATCGTCGATCTATCTAAAGAAAAATAAATCTTACAAAACCTTAAACCATTGTCACAGCTTCAACAATCTACACTCTCAATTTGAGGTTGAATGAACGTAAGAAAGAAGCTTTTTAGAAACAATTTCCCGAGGCTGTCACTGCTCAAGCTTTGTTGTTAAGAGAGAAGAAATGCTACTCTCGTTAATGGTATTGAAAAATTACGACACAAAAATGAGAACATTTTAAGCATTAGATGTCAGCAGTTTTTTTCTTTTTATTATTTTCTTTTATAAGCAATGAACGACGTACACGAGCTTGTTGGAATAACTTATAAAGCAGGGGATGACCAGGAGCTGGGTGAATAAATTAATGTCAAGGTCATCTGAAGATAATCGTTTAAAATTTTAATCAATATTGTTTATGTAAAGATCTTAAAAGTTTTAAATACTTAAAATGGTTTATTACAGAAACAAACCCTTTTTTCCTATTCAACCTAAAAAATTATTATAGGCTCGCCTATTCTTTGTAATAAGGCAATGTGTATACAAGAATAATCTCGATAGGATTTCTAAGCAAATTGTGCCTCAGCATTTCATTTTGCCCTTTCATCTCCCGCACTTTGGCCGTCGTCAAGTCAGAAAAGGCTCGTTCACAGTCAACAAAACAAACGAAATAATAATGACGAGTATCGCTTTAGTCTTATTCATCCATGAAAATGATGTCGAAAAGCCGGATTAAAGTAGATTTAGAGAAAATGAGGATCATTGGCAATTTCTTTTTCTTCTTTCTCTCATGAAATTTTAATTCAATATTCACATTGAACCTCCTGAATTGTACACTAATTACTTATGACGTCATTTACGACCCATCCTTAAAGCTTTTTTCCGCATTTTCCGAGTAATTAAAACTTTTCCTTTTCTCTTTTAATTTTTTGTTTCGTCCTCTTAAGCTTTGTCGCTTTCATTCCACGGTAATGTTGTCAAGCGAAAGTAATAATCATTTCATTCGCTTTATGTGAATTACAGTTTGTGGTGAACTCGACTGTGAAAATCTTTTCTTTCTATTTCTACGAAGAGAGTGTGTGCGTAAATAAGTGTAAATGTATAAGAATTAATTTCAGGTTTTTTTTTCTTCTGGCACGTTTTAACTTGCAGCATATTAATTGATACTCAAACGATAAAAGCAGTGCAACATGAGCGGCTCTTAAACATGCAATTTGTAATCAATACTACACCGTGTTGTTTTTTTTAAGTTTCTACTCAACTCTTTTTTTTTGAAAGGTATTTACTTGTATTTATCTATTTTTAAAATTTAAAGTGTCAAGGATTTTTAATCGCGTGCATATCATATCGAAATCAAATATCTTTCGTTTTGATGTGCGGGTCGAAGCGGCAAATTGTCCATGAACATGAAGGCAACCAAATGAAATAAGAAGAGTGAGAAATCCTTGATATGTATTCTAGTAACGAAAAGAAGATTATTGAAGAGAGTTCTCTAAGTTTTCATTTTGTTTTCTTATCACAAATCACATTCTTATGTGAATGACACTTCAATATTGTATGAAAAAATGAAAATCAATTCAGAAATCATTTCATTTTTCTTGCCGCTTTTCCGGTGTTGAGTCCACCCAATTTAATACTTATATGAGAGAAAAAGAAGAAGTGAAAAATAAAAGCTTCGTTCTCAATCCCAAAATAACACCTTTTTGTGTGAGAGGGAGAAATACCACATTCGAATTTTATTTAATTTTTTTTCTTCGTTTCTGTACTTCACGACTGTCAATTTGGGTTGTGCGAGATTTTAAAAGTAAGGAAAACTGGCTTCCGATTCAATCACATATAATGCTTTAGTGAGTTGAGATAGTAAGTAAGAGAAAGAAATGCGCAACATAAAGAAACGAAGGATTCATGAAGAAGAAAAACAGGAATTTAATTTAAAACCACGAAGCGATGTTGCCAAATTTCACGCAAAGAATGTGCAAGGTTGCTAGACTTCTCTTCTCTTCCCAGTAGAACAAAAATCTGCGAAAATGTACGAAAGTTTTTTGTTTTCTTTTAGTTTTTCCTTGTTGCGTAAATTCCTTCTTTATTTGTTTCGTTCCTAGTATTTATAAGCACAAACTTTTAAAGAGAGGGTATTTCATGAAATGATAACGCATGTTAGTTGTTGCATTTACTTTATTGAAAATCATCATTGATGTTGCTCGAGTTTTTTTTTTCGTTTTTGTTGGTAGATAGCACATATACTTTTGAATTGGAGTCAACATTATGTTCAATTCCACTCGAAAATCTAATGTAACTCTCAAACGAGTGAAACATGGCAAGATATAATTTCCGGCATTCGAATAGATTTTTCTTTGTGCTTCGCATAGCTTATGGTAAAATAAGGCTCATTGGAATACTTAATGATAGTTATTCTTCACTCTTTGTGCAGAATTGTTGTTGAGAAACTTTTCTAAACTTAAGATTTTCCATTTCAAATTCACATATATGGATGGAAGAAGCACAAATTGTATTTCTGCTTTAAAATAAATTTATTTGCTTTCTGATTTTTCACAGAATATTTCTCGCTTATCTTTTTTTATTGGGTACTTCTTCATGTAGATGAAAATAAAATTTTATTTATTTTCATACATTTCCATCAGGATTGAAATTTGAAAAAGAGCAAAGTACTGAGCTTAGAAATTTCGTTTTATATTTACTGTCATAAAATTATCATCAGAATCAAAAGAAGTACCGAATCAGAATTCTTAGAAACAATTCTAATAAGAATAAAATAAATTGTTTTTACCTAAGTTCAGGAGTCTCTAAGAGCATCGACACTTGAGAAATTATAGGAAATTTTTAACATATAATCAGTAATGGATCGAATTTCACTCCGTCCAAGAATGACATCAACGCTACAAATGATGGTAGTCAAAATTTATGTTCATTATTCTAAGTATAAAACTAACTAATGGTTATTTACGTATTGCGAGAAAAGAAACAAAATGATGCTACGACATATAGGTGGGATGAAACAAATAAAACAGAACGGAAACATACAAAGAACTTAATAAAATTCATTATGAAATAAATAAGTTGGATAATTCACGTCTCTTACTCATTCCTTTCAACAAACAATGTTCTAATATTTCGATAGCTGATTACTTATTAATTACATCTGACAAAAAATACCCACCCAAAGTAATTTCACCATAAGTTCTTGATAAATATGAAAAGTTTGTAGATGTATCTACTTAATCTTATCATTTTACTCAACGATATAAAAAGCGAAATATTCAAAATAAGTTCACTTGAATGTTGAAGCATAATTACGATAAAGGCGTAAACTAATTTTCCAGTTTTACAACATTACAGCCATCAAATCTTAGCTTTAAGATATATATACACGGTATCATATATTTAAGTTTTCATCGTCTTTCTTTTAATCTAATTCTGCCTCGTGTCATGCAACTTATTATCTCTAGTTTGAGTTTGAGTGGAAATGAAATGTTATCGAATTGATAAGAAATATCAACAAACAATTAGTGAACTATTTTTGGGGGACAAGAAAATGTTCGTTTCTAGATACATCAATTATAACTCCAGATAAAAAAATACAAACATGAGACGTTAGCACGGCAGTAGGGGAAATCCCACGATAATATTTTTTATGCTTCTTAAGAAAGCACAAATTGAGTAAAGAATATTGTTTGAAAAGAAACATAAACTGTGCGGTTTGCATATTATGATTTGAATTTAGAAAAACTTTGTTACCTCACGAAGTATCAAGTGTTCTGTTTTCATATATTTTCTACTTGAACAGTTATAAAAACATCTAATGACAAAAAAAGAAAATAAAAGCTAAAAGTTCATAAACTTGATACCAGAAGCTTATGTTAATTTATCTTTTCATTCCTTTTGAAAATGATTTCAGAAATTCAGTCTGTAGATAAGAAGAAAATTTAAAAATAAATAATTACTCGTTAATAAGTGTAGGTGTCTACTTAAGTCTTCTTTCAATTTCTGATGAAGAATTTTCCTTTACTGTCTGAGAATAATTTAGCAAGAATTTGTTCAGATTATTTAAAGAAGCTTTCGAGCTTCTTTTTCTTTAGGTTGACATTAAATGATAACGTAAAGAAATATCTTGACGTCATTAAGAGACATGTGCGATGCCCTTGCAACAGCTGGTTTGTTTCTTTTTCTCTTCTATACATTCAATGTCCCTGTATAAGAAATATAAGAAAAGAGAGATTGAAAATATAACTCGAACCATAAAAATCATAAAATTAAGTGAGCATAATAATGTTTAGTGCTTGATATTGGAATCAATGAGCATTTTCAGTTATTTATACGTGAAGTGGACATCATCGTATACTATTTACATGTTAAACTTCTACCATATATTACTGTCCACCGAGTGTAATAAAACCGAGAGCGATAAGGCAAAAAAAAATATACAACAACGTAAAATTGGCAACGTCGAATGTGAAAACGAATTTAAATTAAATATAAGAGGCTCAAAGAGGCCACACAGATGATTTTCAGAGAAAATTTAAAGTGAAACGAATAAAAATACGCTCTTATGGATAGCTTAAAAAGACTTAATTTAAAATTATTATTTATTATTTTATAGTCAGCCTAAAGCGTACGTACACCATCAGTTCTTAATTAGGTTTGCCCGTTCATTTCTCATCGAACACGAACACAATAAAGAAAGCAATTTTTTTTGATCAATCTCTGAGTCTCGTGTACTGAAAGCTTCAGTTGTTGTGGGTTAAATTTTTTCCCTTTATACAATTTTTCAAATTGCTTTTAATTTTGTTCAGTTCATTCATTTATGAATTTTTATATGATGTCGCTTCCTACAGGAGTCAAAACGATAGCTGTTGTGATGAATTCTAAACAAGAAATAATGCGGCAAATATTAGGGGGACGAGAAAGTAAAGGCAAAAAACTGAAATGGAAATAGTCAATACGACAGCAGACTGGTTACGAAAAATATCAAAGATAAAAATAAACACAAATAAATCGCACTTTTTTCCACACTTTAAGAAGCCTTGACATTTTTGGCATTTCTGTTATCGATTTATTTTGAGTGCTTCCGAAACATTTTCCTACATTTTATGACAATAGAAAGCAACCAAACATAATAAATTGCTTAGTTCATCATTTTTGGTTTAAAAAGAAAGAAAAACAAAGTTGATATCTATTCAGTTTCATTTAGATGTTGTCGTGATAATAGCAAATGAATTATGGTTGTGACATAATTTCCAATTTCGTTTTTATACTTCACATCATTAGGGAACATAATAAGTTTTAAGACTCCAGGTGAGTTAGGCTATTTTCAACATACGCTCTACGGAGTGTTTTTCCACTCATCACATTCTTTGCCTAACTTTTACTTTTCACCATCATACACACATTTACTCTTCCAATATTTAGACTTGTCTTTTAAAAATGTGTGAGGGACTCGAGACTTTACATGGTAAAGTTATATTTTCTTGATTTTGTTCTTGAAAATGTTTACCAGAGTATGACATTGAAAATACAATGAATTTAAAACTTCTACTAAGATATTATGTACATAAATATTTACTTATTTACTGATACTTGGATAAAAATAAATGCATTTGATGTTTGTCGGAATACTTGATGTGCTATCAGAAGTTTGCAGTTATGATATGAGAAACATAATTAAATTTAACTACTTAAAGCCACATCAAACTTTATGTTAAAAACTTGATTTTGGCTCTTTTACGACTCGGTTCCTATACCGAAATTTAAAAACAAAATCCTTTAAATTTTAACACGTGATATGGCGCTGGCGCACGGTTGCGGTTGGTTCGGTTCACTTCGTTGCTTGTGTAATATTTTATGCAAATTAGAATGCAACATTCACTGAATATAACAAATCGACATACAAATCCATAATTCCACATAGTTTTTAATCTCAATACAAAATGCTCTAAAGGCCAAGTTGAAGTTTTTTCATGGAAGCTAAATAAATAAATGACAGTGGAATGAACTTCAACCTGTGCGTTGGCTAAGATGCATTTAAAATTATGTTTCATTTATTTTTTGGATAAAATAAGATTAAAGCGTAGATAAATATTCATAAAACAAAGAAATAATATTCATTAATGTTCGTGCTTTTATTTCTTCAATGTCATCTTTGTTTCGAAATTGTTATATGTATATACAGTTACTAATTGACTAAAGGAAGTTAAATTAACTTTGAATAGTAATTACATTTCAAATCTTGCTTCAATTTCATTCGCCTATTTTACGTATGAATGAGTTTTTCGACTTAAAGAAGTAAAAAAAAAAACAGAAAACTTTCTCTAACATCTCTTGCATACGTTGCTTGATTGAGTTACACAATCTTCTCATCCTATACATATATGTGAAAGAAAAGATTTAGAAAGAAAAACAAGTCTTTTCTCAGATCAGTGAATTTTCCAAATTCTTTTTGTTTTTTTCTTCTGATAAGAACAGTCGCCACTTGCGTGGGCGGTTATCTCGAGAAATTTAATATTCATCCTCAGCTAAATCTTCGCTCGTTACCCGTAAATATTTTCTTCTCTATCGCCTTGAACTTAGGCTTTGCTTTCCTTCTTTGTGTTGTCATAAAACATAAATTTATCGACACGTAAGAGATCTCGGTTTGCTAATCCCATATCCCTAACATGATACTCGAGATTCAACTTCAAAATCACAGTGAGTAGTTGCAGAGAAAACAAGATTTTCATCTTTTGAGAAAGAGATTGAGTGTAAAAGAGAAGAAAAATCGTCTTTCATGACCGGTTGGAAGATTTTGCAACAGTTTGCTTGAAAGGGAAAACGAGTGGACTCATGTATTATTTCTTACTGGGAAATCATCCAATGAAGCAGCAATGTTGTATATTTCTACCTTCCTATGTTAAATGCCCAAAACTCTCCCTTAAATATTCTTTTTTATTCTCCTTTCCTGTAGCTTAAACATAAATAAACTATACACTCACATAATGAACGCTAGAGAGGTTAAAAACTTGAGGCATGAATATTTAATATCTATGAAATTTCTATTCCAAAACCATACCAATTTTTTCTATATTTTTTTGAGTAAAGAAAAAGAATGTTTAGTTCTAAATTTACTGTAAATTCAATTTTAAGTTTTCTTGTTGTAGGTTGTTAGTTATCTTCAGCATTGGGCTTTTTGCTTGTGCCGTTTAACGAAGTCATATATTTTTCTGTTGATGTCTTATAAATAGCTTGCCTTCGCTCTTGACTACACGTTCGAATATTTTATTGTAAACAGTGAAGCGAAGAGAAAAAGAAGAATGAAAAAAATTATAGAGACAACAAGTAAACATGAAAAGAGACCTGAAAAGGTGAAGCCGAGGCTTGATGCCTGAACCATATCAATTTTGCTTTTCGTTTTTATTTTAAATTGACTTTTTTTTATTTTCAATTGAAGAAGCAATTTGATGAACGAAATTGACCCTCGCAAAATAAATTGATAACACTCTAAGATTGTTTCATACAAACAAGATACTCGAGTTGACTGTTAGCATTTATCCCCAAGAGAGTTTGAGGAAGAGAAGCAATTCCATTAAAGTTTTATTCAAGAGAACGCTTGTGGGTGGCGTTAGCAACTGACGTGATACTTGATAACAGTATAATAAAAATCTGTTCAACATTATGACATCACAATTTCATATAGTTTCCTCGCATTCGTTTTTATTCATATGAAAATGTTTAATTGCAAAAGTTTATAATGATTGAATGAAAATAAAATGGGACGAAAGTTTAAAAATATTCCTTATCCCAATTTAATGTCACGTTTCCTATTACAAACTTTGTCGATTTCTGTGACGTAATTTCTGTTTCTGGTCTCGTATACTTACTTACTACTATATAGTTATATAAAATATTTTCATGTTCGTGATAATGAACTCTGAGATTTGTTTTATGACACAAAAAACTTCATACACCCATGCACCTCTTCTCTAGTAGCTAATAAACATTTGCTTAGCGCTATGAAAGAAAAAAATTTTTTTTTCGTCAACAACAACAAGCGGTTTCCGAACGAACGCAAAAAGCAAAGAAAAATAATCGCTTTCTGTTTAAATATAGAACATGTGTACTCAAAAGAGAAATGAATGCGTGTTGGTGTTAGATAATTTAAATATTATTTTCGTATTATTTAATTATTAATTTTCTTATTTTCTTCTACTTGGGATGTGGGTCTGATTATTAATAAAGATATGAAAGAATTTTCTTTTTCTGTTTTGACAATTTAAGTGTGATTCTTTTTCTGTTTGCATTTCTTTATTTCTCAGTTCATGTTTATCATCAAAATGAAAAAGAAAATAAAATAAACCCTTTCAGCTAAAAGTAATCATTCCAAAAACACTCAAATTTATCTTTTATATGCGATTAAAATTTATGATTTTTATATTGATATGCTCTGAGAAGACACTCGATTTGAAATGATTTTTCGCAACATAACTGATACGTTAGCAAGTTGGTGAGTTTAACATTTTGTTTTGTAATTATATGTGTTTAATTAATGTGATAAATTTTTATTATTTGTTAAAAATGTTAATTTATGTTGAGCTGAAGTAAATATTATGCAAAATAAATGTAATAATGTAGGTGTATGTCTACACTTGAAATTTAACTAATTCTCATATATTTTTGTCTTCATTGAATGATTGTCTCAGTTAATTATACTACGCAATTAGGAATTCGGAAACTTTTCAGTTTATCATTTTATTTATTTTAAAAGCTTTTATCTTGATGAAGTAAAATTAATTGTGGCATAGATTTAATTTGCATGTTACTTCAACCCGTTACATTATTGATGTTCACTCTCTCTCTCATGAATCTATTAAGTTGAACCTCGTTACAACGATTTTAATAGCATTAAAATAAAGGAAAATTCTTAATTTTCCATAATCTTATAATTTATTGATAAAAGCTTTAGATAAAATAACTCAAAACCTATCATATGCTGAATTAGAATGGGAAAATGTGTATCAAAAAGTTCAAAAACTAATAATTTTAGGTATATAAACTTTTACATAGGAATTTCCTTAGTTACTTAAATACATTAAATTAACTTCAGCACCATAATATGAATTTAATATGATGTTATAACATAATTTTATTAAAATATTATCAAGAATACATACATAAAACATAATACGAATAAATTCTGATTAAAAATATTTTGAATAATTTATGAAAAATAGTGCCTTAAACGAAATTGATCCTGTGCTGAAGTTTGTGAGCATTTCGCTTAAGTGAGACTCAAATGTTTCGGTTCTCTTTTTTTCACACAAAATTATCAAGTTTTTCGAGCTCCCATTCAATCGTCGTTTGAACGTCAAACCTTTAAGCACGTAAGAAAAAATTATAAAAAATTGCGAAAAGAAATCATCGAAGAGTGGAAAAATACGAAGGAGAATTAAAAACAAAAAGCAAATTGTTGATTGTATAAAAATTAATCTGCATCTTAAAAAATAACAAATTTGCGAAGTTATAAAATTATCGCGTGTTGTGCACGTTTATAAACGAAAACGTCATAAAACGGCACAATTCACAAAAAAAAGAAATCAAAAACCAAGTTTATTTACACATTTCCTCAATTTCGAGGAGAGAAAATGTCTCATAGTTTTGAAGTGTATCAAGGAATATTGAAGAGATATTGGAAAACAGACTATTATCGAAGCCTATTATTCAAATAATTTTTTAAAAGTAATATTAGGAGATAAAAAAAAATATTTAAGTGTTTTTATTTGCAAAGTAAAAATAAGAAGAGAAGAGTAAAGAAAAGAGAGCGCGACATGGAAGAAAATATTCAAACGATGGCAATGCCACCTAGTGAAGCACAGAATGCAGAGATTGTAAAAACATCAGCAGAGATAATTCAACCAGTAGCCGAACAAAACGGAAATTGCAATCAATCTAATGCAAATAGGAATAATGCGAACGCAAAAAATAATAATCGAAATAATAATTTCAATGTTAAAAATAAGAAATTGAATAATCGTCGTCGCAAGCGCTCATTTCGAAGTCGCAAAAATTCCCGAAGTGGAAATAATTTTAAATTCAATGCAAAATCGAAGAAGCGTGATTTGTTATTTGATCGAGATCAAGTGCGACGACATCAATTATTCTTTACGGATAGTCAACGTCTCGTTCCTTACAACACCAACGAGTTCTTGATGGAAGATCATTTTCCGAAAATCTCACCAAATTTCAATTACAACCCCATCAACAGTCATGATTCGTTCTCAAGCAGTGATTGTGGAATGTCAGGATCGATTGACGAAGATGAGTTTCTTACCAAAGAATTTCGAATGGATTATGAGAATCTTCGGTCGGAACAACTTAATGATATGACAAAAGATCAATTGATACAAGAATATTTGAAGTTAGAAAACCAAACTGAGTTGAGCATTAAAGCAAAAGAGAATGAAATATTGGCTTTGAACAATAAAATAAAAGGTGGGTTAGTGAAGAGAGCAGACGGTAATTTGTATGCTAAATTTCTTTTTCCCATTTTTTTACAAACGTTTAGAGTTAACTCGTCGATTGAAGCATGAAAAGAATACAAAACAAAAGCTTGTGGAGGGTGACCAAGAATATAGCAGCCATAGTGACAGCTCATCAAGCGATAGTGACAGCTCCAGCTCCGATTCATCCTCATCTTCGTCAGACTCAAACATTGAGAATGAAGAAAATGATGTTAATTATCCTGTGATAACTGAACAGCCACCGCAAATTGCCGAAACTGTTTCGTGTTAAATCCCAGGTTGATTTATTAATTTTTTTCAATATTATTTGCGCTGTTTACGGTAGTTTTTCGTTGCTTTTTAATCGATTATTTTCCTACAAAATAATGAGAAAATGTACAATTTTAATGAGGGTGGAGAATCGACAGAATATAAAATATTTATTATCATATAATCAAATGAGAATAAAGCAGCGATTGAAAATCTTACTTTTACTTTTTTCTTTATTGATGAGAGAAAACGTCGATGCGCGACGACTCATTTTAGAATTTGATGCACAATGCAAATACCTTTTTTTATTCTTCTTTTTGATAGTTGAGCAAGAAAGAAAAATGTTTGTTAAAGGTTCGTTAAACACCTAAGTAATTAAGAGTCTTGATCCCATAATTTAAAAAAAAACTTGACTGCAACATAAAAAGAGAGAGTGAGAAAACAAGGCAGGAAAGAAAACGGAGAGAGAAAATTTGAGAGAGAGGCAAACACAGATATTTATAATTTGAGATATCTTTAAACCAAGGGGCAGATCATGGTAGTGCTTCTGCCCGCTGCCTCCAAGTGATGCTTCGAAAATCACTAGTGCTTTTCAAGAAAAATGGCCTTTTTCCAAGAATTTGTTTACTTTTTCTTGGAATTTGTCTAGTGCTTCAATGCAGCAATAGTGCTTTTGCCCTCCAATTTTTTCCGATGATCTGCCCCTTGCTTTAAACGTTTCCCCGACATTCAACATTTTTATGCTCAAGAATGAACGCTTTAGCAAGCAGAAGGAAAATGAAACTGCTGAAAACGGTAAAACCTTAAGAAGTTTAGGAATAATTTTCTCCCTTAATTTAATGTTATAGAATGAAGAAAGAGAAGCTTAGATTGGATAAAATTTATAATTCTCTTTGTTTATGCAATTAATTGATGGATTTTTTATGACTTGCTTAATAATATACACCTCATACATGTGCTGCAAAGCTTATGAAAATTATTTTCTCACAATCGATAACATGTAATCTAATTTTTAATATACCCCGAGATATATCCGCATCTTGTTTTCTATTTCTCTCTTTGCATATCTGTCGATAAAAATTCAATTACTATCTTGTCATGCTTCGATACTTAGCATTTCGTAGACTTCATTTCGTACATATACCTACATACATATTGAATTAGGCTGTATTTTGATTTCAATAAAAGTGTAAACGTGTAGAATTTTCTCCACCCCCGCTTCAATCTACTTTATTTCCGTTCCTTCGGTGTGAAACCTTTTGAAATGATTCAAATGAGAAGAAACAGAAATTTGAAATTAATTAGTATGATAAGTCGAAATCGCTATGGAATATTCTGAAAAAAAAGAAGAACTTTTAATGTTACATATTTAATAAAGCTCGTTTGGTCTCAATTGCCAATGAAAAAAAGTCATTTTTTTGTAAGTAAAAATTAAGTTAACTAATGTTAATAATAAAGACATTATCGCATTTATTTGCGTTAATGATTAAGAAAATCCTTGTGGTACAATCGCGCGGGTGAACTAAATGTGATTTTAATTTTAACTCCACATTTGAACATTAAATTCTTTTGTGGTTAAATGATCCTCTACGGAAGAAAAAAATAAGAAAACAAAAAAAAATCGCTTCAAAGTGTACGCACAACGTGATATTTTATTAATTTTTATGATGATAAAAGAATGGCTTTTAATTCGGGTGAATTTATTGTAAACAATTTATGAATTGCAGATGAATATTTAATGGAAAAATAAATAAAAAAAAAATTATATTACTAATCGTTTTGATTCAGGGTTGGAAAGCTTGCAATGTGATTGACATTTTCATGACACGATGGAAAGGTTGCGAATGAGATTCATTCATGCATTTTATTGAGGAAAAGGATTTTTTTTAATTATCTCATCTATTATTTTGATAAAAATAAGTATTATTATCCTCCCTCCTACATATTTTTAACAATCATTTAGATATTTTGTTCTAAATTGGAAGGCGTTATATAAATCTTATAATTGTTGAATAATATAACATTGATCAGATAGACTTCGTATTGAAACTTTGTATACACAAAGTAAAAGAATTTTCATTTCAATTAATGTGTAACCAAGTAGTTAGGCATTAGAAATATGTAAATTAATAATCGACTGGCAAGATTATGTATCTCATCTGAAATGTGATAAAATAAAACTATCAAATTAATAGTTTCCAATTTAACTTTCCAATTTACAAATGAGTGATATTTCGAAGCACATGACATTACTTAATCAATTATTTAAAGCAATTTCCATTTAATTACGTTTTCTTTTTGAGGCAGAAACTTGGAATTTGAAAATCGTTCTTGTTTCAGAAGTTTAGCTGTCTACATATTTATTCAACGACATGTGTCATAAAATATGAAGATTCGTGTTTTGCTTTTTTACTTATTTGCCATATTTAATAATTTAAAAGCTAAATTAATGATTTCATGCATCGAAGCAAAAACACTTTTTATACATTTTTAATCGTTTCAATATCTTGAAAAAAAGAAGTGACAAATGAACAATAGAATTTTCGATTAAATAAAATAGTAGCGCGTGTAGATAAATGTCGCAGTTATTATTTTAATTTATTGTATGAAAGTCTATTCAATTTTAATTGACATTTTAAACATTGTTGCAAATTTGCATATTAATATTTTATACTCAATCTTTAGTTTGATAAAGATGTTGCTTTTTATACAATGAACATATTGCCTTATCATACGACTCTCACACTCTTCAGCTTGAATTTTCTTTTCGTCCTAAAAGTTAATCTAAAGATAACAAATGCTTTTGCGAACAAAACCATGTGATATTTAAAAACAATCGAATTTTTTTCAACCCCATTGATAAATGATAGATAAGTTGATATGATATCTGACGATTACAATTATTTACTTACACAATATTTCAAACAGACAATAAAATTAAAGAAATAAATATTTTCTTTGTTTTATTTGCAATTTTTTTGTCTTTCAAAATTTTGTGGACAATTTTTTATTTCAATTCATTGTGTAATAAAATACGAAAGATGATGAATCAAATAATGAAGGTATACACTTGATATTGATGATGTCATTCGAGAAACGACTTGATTCATTCTCAGCTGTAGCATTTTCGTTCTCTTTTTGGGCCTAAATAAGTATATGGAAACAATAAGATGTTTCTCACAGGAAATAAGAGAATTAAACGAGGATTATTACAAATGATGGACATTTTTGGCAAACTTCTACATACAGAATAATAAAGTGAGAATGATTAAAAAATAAATAAGAAATAAGCAACGTTTGCAAGGCATACATTATTCAAAATTAAGGATTATTTAAGACAAGGTTACAAAAAATGAGCTCTCTTTTTCATCGGCTGTATAAAATTGATATTGAAGCACATTATGGAAAAGAAAAATAATAAAGTTTTCTTATCGTCTTTTATTCTTTGTGTTTGAAGACCGTGAATGACGAGATAAATAGATTGAAAGAGAAAAAACCACTTCGTTAAACATTTCGCTTTCATATAAAAATCAATAAAGTTCAATGTTGTAGAAAAACATCAAACACATGAGGATCGTATGTAGTAAAAAGATTGTTAATGAGATTAATAAATTTATTGAGTATTTAATTTTTTCGACATTTCAAATTGAATGAAATTATCCGAATATATTACAAGTTAGGTATTTGCAATGAATTCAGGAAGAGATCGATTTAATTTCATGTGTTTAATTAAAACGTAAAACAATTCTTTCAAATCTTTTTAAAATAATTCATTGTGTAAACAATGTGTGTAATGTAATGAAAATTTTATTTTCTTGTTTAAAACCTTTTTCTTTAAAGAATAATTTATCTAATTTTAACGAACATTTTAATTTTGAATATTTTTTTGAGTATACGTACGAGGGGTAAGTAAGCATTCAATTATTGTGTTGTCAACACAAGCGTTCAGTTTAGTCGAGTCAGTTCACGATGAAGTTCAGTCGAATATTTGTTGTGTAATAAAGTTGATTAATTCATTTATATCCAAATAACATCAAAAACCATAAAAAATGATGCTCGAAATTGCTGGTGGCGTCCTTTTCGCCCCATTTGTAACACTTTTAGTTGTAATTCTTCTCTTGGCTAGCATGGGCAAATCATTTGGAATTAGAAAAGCTTATGTTCAGCTTCTTCTAAAACTCTTTGAGGTGAGAATAATAAGAATAGGGAAACAGCTGATTAACAAAGGAACAAAATATCTCCTCAGATATATAATTACGTCATAAAGTGAAACATCAAATTAACTTATAAATAACACTGTGAAAATGCGTCGTCATTGGATTTTTCAAGATCAAAACAACTTAATATTCACCCGACTCTGCTTATTAACGCTACTCGTTACGCTTCTCTCTTATTTTCATTAAGATAAGATAAGCATTACATTGTTATCAATTCAATTTTTAATACTTGATCTATTTTTTGTTCCCCGAGAATTTGTTTTTGTAAAACAACAACAATAAAATTCTCCCCACGTTGTAACATAGAAAAAAAAATTTAGGCTCTCAAATAGTCTGGCTCAACATACGATCGAAATACAAAGCTCAAAACGAATTACAAAGTCTTTCGTAAAATCTAATCAAATATTCTAGACATGTCTAAGGTGGTTAATGATTTATGATTCTTTTTTGTTTTGTCTTATCGTCAATGACATTTCACCCTCAGCTCTATAGTTCATTTCATTAGTTAATTTCGTTAACAAAATCAAAAATACTGAGATTACGCGATAAGACTTTAAATCATCGAACGAGAACCTTGAACTGTAATTCGACTACGAAAACAAATTTTCTACTGTTGATGGTTGCCGCGGCTCATTAGAAAAACTTTGCCTTTACCTCATTTTGTTGCTGCATTCGAAACAATGATGAGAAAGCTTTAATTATTATGCAATTTTGTATTAAGGAGGATAATTATGTCAATTAATCTATAAATGAGTTCTGTAATCGATGCAATTGTATGAACAAATGATTTGTATGTCATAAAAAAACATTGTAAATACGACGACGTTTAAAAATAGAAAAAAATGCACACATTGTCATAAAAAGTTTTGTTTAGATTTCAAGTTTTAGTCAAAATATTTTTTATCGTTGTTAGGACCGTGAAACTTAATTTCTGATGAAATTTCTCTTTTTTTTTAGTATGGACGCGTTAACATTGAATCCGCTTATGAGAAACGAGGCATAACCACAGTTGCAGAAGAAGAAATCGAACGAGAACCTGTTAGCCAAAAGCCAGACACACCACCATCGCCAAGAAAGAATGGACTTGTTAAAAAACTTAGTGCAAATGGAATAAGCAGTTTAATCAGCAAAGAATCACTGTTGCTTGTTCCTGAAGGCGGTGACACTGTCATTCAAAATGGACATACAAATGGAAAAGTTGAACAAACAGAACACATTGAAACTGTCAACAATAATATCATCGAAAATTCCATTCAAAAGGTGATAAAATTGTTGCATTTAATTCATCGAATATTCTTCTTATCGTGATTCATGATTAGATAATTTTAGTAATCATGATAAAAATGAAATATGATATAATTTTTATTTAAGGAAATTGGTGATAAAGATGATAAACCATTAGATTTTAAAATAGCTGATTGTCTGGAATATGTCAAATCGGGAATGGAAGCAATAATTGAGGACGATGTAACATCAAGATTTGAAGCAGAAGAACTCAAAAATTGGAATCTTTTGACACGAACAAATCGTCGATATGAATTTATATCATGGAAGTTGACAGTGATTTGGGTCATTGGATTTCTAATTCGCTACATCATTCTAATGCCATTGAGAGTCATCATTTGTTTTATTGGGGTGAGTTTGACAAATTCTTTTACATTTTTTTTTCAATTTTTCCCCCTGGGAAGGGCAAAGAAAAGAATAGAAATTGAAAACAAACCCAAAACATCATTGGATTGTTAAAAAATATAAAATTAGGTTGTATGGTTTGTGATTGCATTCGGACTTTGTGGATTTGTGCCGAATCAAAAACTTCGTCGTTGGATGAATGATACGGTGTCGTTAATTGGTTTCCGCATCATTTCTCGATCACTATCTGCTGTCATCACTTTTTATAACGAGGAATATAAACCAAAGAATTGCGGATTCTGCGTAGCTAATCACACATCGCCAATTGACGTGTGCGTGCTAGCATCTGACTGCACATATTCACTGGTGAGAAAAAAACATACAACAACTTCATTGTTGCTTATATCTGCACGCCAAAGAACAAAACTTTTCTTTTTAATGTCAATATTTGGGGGGAAAAAACAAAAACGAATTTTCGATATAAATATTCATGTTTGCATATCGTCATTGTTTCATTTATATGTTTCTCCAACTTTCCTTTAAATCCACAACCACATCAATGTCCATCCATCATCATGTGTCATAACTTTAGGTTTATTGGCTTACGTTCTGTACAGCTTTGGTCGGTTGTATACCTGATTGCGACTCTAAACGAAGGATTATTCGTATGACGCTTATCCATTGCTTTGATTTTCTATCGAATGCAATCTCAGCGGTTGTTTATTATCACAATCCTGAGAATCGTCCAGTCAATGGAATTTGCGTTGCCAATCACACATCACCGATTGACGCACTAGTTCTAATGTGCGATAATAATTATTCCTTGGTAAGTAAAACTCTGATAAATCCTCTTCTTAATCGAAGTTTTATTCCTCTTTTTTTATTTCCTCTGCTTTTTTTCGAATCATTATAAATACCATTAATATCATTAACTTGCTACAATATTTTATGATTTCTTATGATTAACATGTTTTTGTCTTTGGTAATGCACGTTGAAAATGAATTTTTATGTTGTCTTGTCTTGGATTGCTTTCAATTGATCTGAAATGAAATTTAATGCTATGATGATTTTTAGATTGGACAACGACATGGAGGCTTTCTTGGTGTACTTCAAAGAGCGTTAGCTCGTGCATCACCTCACATTTGGTTCGAGAGAGCTGAGGCTAAAGATCGGTCAACTGTTGCTGCCAGGTATGAAGAAGATTATGTGAAACTGTAATAAATTGAATTGAATTTAATGAACTTATTTCAGACTTAAGCAACACGTTTCAGATCCGAAAAATCCTCCAATTCTCATCTTTCCTGAAGGCACTTGCATAAACAACACTTCAGTGATGCAGTTCAAAAAAGGAAGTTTTGAAGTTGGTGGAGTTATTTATCCTGTGGCCATAAAGTAATGCTGAAAAAATTAATTAAACTTCCTGAATTATTAATTGAATAATTAAATGGATTTCTAGATACGATGCACGATTTGGTGATGCATTCTGGAATAGCTCACGATACTCAATGATGCAATATTTGTACATGATGATGACAAGTTGGGCGATTGTTTGCGATGTTTGGTATCTTCCACCAATGTATCGTGAAGAAGGCGAATCAGCAATTGATTTCGCAAATCGTGTGAAAAGTGTGATAGCAAAGCAAGGCGGTCTTGTTGATCTCGTTTGGGATGGTCAACTAAAACGTATGAAGCCAAAGAAAGAATGGAAAGAGAAACAGCAGGAAGAGTTTACGAAACGTCTCAAAGGAGATTAATATAACTCGTTAAAAAGTTGCAAATAGATGAATAAGAAGAAATAATTGGGTTAAAAAAATACAATCAAAGACAGTTATGTAAATTTAATGAGTGAAACTTTGGCTCCATTTTCGATTAAATTAACGACCAATGAAACTGTTGCATGCGTTGATAACTTTGGGAAATTGAGAAATTTAAGTCGTTTCAATTTTCCATCGTTCTCCATGAGTTGAGTCATTCCTCTTATCAAAATTATCACATTTCAACTCTTATTTCATGTACATATTTAATCAAAAAGAAAACACTGATGAATACCTCTTATTCCATTTATTGCTCTTGCATTAATTGGTTGAAAACCAGGAAAAAAAATTTTCTATTAAATCTACGAAATCGCTTAAGAAGACTGATGAAAACTAAAAATCACGATTATTTAGATATTTTTCTCCTCCGAGTACATCACAAGCTAGAGTGTTTTAAAAAGAAATGAATTTCGTAAATGGAGCCAATTTTTATTTATTCTTCCTCTTCCCTTCATACTTCATCTTTTTTTGTTACTTAACTATAGTATTTGATCAACTTACTTAAGCTTATGAAACTTTCTATTGCATCAGCTTACGTTAGACTCTCACGGTGAGAGTCTTTGATCGAACCCTAAGCTTAATTGTTTCAATTTTCTTTTTCTGAAACTTTTCATTTTCTTGTAACTAGAAATTTGGCTTGAACATCTTTGAAAATTATGTTCTAAATCAAATTTATGTTCTACATCAGTAATCAGTTGCTACTACTTAAATATTGTACATTTATTCGTTTCATAATTGTAATACGTTTGGTAACTTAAATTCTTTCCATTATTTCCATGAAGCTTTGTTGTTCTTTTCCAATCGTTCGATTAAAATTAAGGCTTTCTTTTTGTTGAATAATTTTAAGATAACTATTTGATGAAAGCTTTTCACTTTCTTCAATCCTGTGAGCTTATTTATTTAATGCTTGTTTTCAAATTATGTTAGTCCAGTGACAAACAACAAATCCTAAGGAAGAGTGTTCTAAAAAAGTGACAAGAATTGTGTTGCTATGCTACATATTTATGTAAATGTTGAATGAACGTTGAAGTGATAAATAACATACTAAAAGAATATATTTTTTTGTCGAATAGTTTGCATCATCCAACTGCATTTAATTATTTGTAGCTTCACATTTTGTCCAAAAAAAAACAATGAATTAAGAATAAAGAAGCGTATTGACGAATCAACAGAAATTCATGTTTTTTTTTTCATATTTAGGTGCTGAAAATGATTGAATAATATGACACTAATTTATAAAGCACTCAATAAAACATTTAGGAATGGGTAAACGTTCTTTACAACATCAGCAAAAATGTCATGGGTTAAAATGTTTCAAAATAAATGAATTTATTATTTTAAAACAAATTCAAACCTGCTCCTAGGAATTAGCTTACGAAGTGGCATTATCATCTATTTGACATAAATTAAGCACCATCATTATTCACTTTCACAGTACAAATGTAGTTGTTATTATGGAAATTCTTATTATTTTCTGATAGCTTTTTTTCGATTATCATTTCGTCATCTTCTAGAAGTTTTCTTCTTAGATCTTGAATAATTTCGAGTTTCGAACAAAACATTAGTCAAAACCTAGTTGAGAAAAACATAAAATTCAATAAATATCGAAAAGATGAAACATAATAAAAAATCTTGCTTGAGACAAACAACATAACGCCAGTATTGCGAAACATTGTTTCTTTTTTCATCCTTAAAATTCCAGAAGATATCAGATATTTCAGATAAGTGAAATACCAGAACAATGTCTACACTTTTTGCACCATTTTTACTTAGCATACCCAGGACCTTTTCAATGACATTAAACTCCATATTATAATCCTAATTGTAGTAGCTTTAAGAATTTTTTAAATTTATTTTTTAAACTCTCGAAAGGTTGCAATATTAAAAACATTTTCTNGCTTGAGACAAACAACATAACGCCAGTATTGCGAAACATTGTTTCTTTTTTCATCCTTAAAATTCCAGAAGATATCAGATATTTCAGATAACATTTTCTTTGATAATTGGAAAAGATTGAATTTGATATCAACATAAATTAAGTAATTTTACTCTGTTTACGGAATATTTAATAACATTTTAATGTAATAATTATGAAAAATAATTACCTATATTTTATTATATCCTCATTTAC